ACCACCCTCGGACTCCCATTAACACTTGGACTCAACATGTCTCGCTTCATCAGACGTTGAATTAAGCCGCGCGGAGATGTTTCGCGGCTTTCGAAAGATTCACTAGAGATGCTTTAGAATAGTTTCCCTTTTCTTTTTTTTTTCTTTTTTTATTTCGAATTCCCACTTGAATGAAAATAATGATTACGTCGTATCGCAGGCTTTTTGGATCAATCGAGATTGTTCAAAGCTCGTGATAAATTGCTTTGTGTCTCAGGGTGCAGAGTACGAGGTGCTAGATGATTCTCAGGAACATTGGTGGAAAGTCAAAGACGAGCATGGGTACGTATTGTATTCGGCAAAAGAGAAATGAAAAATAATCAAAGTAGCTCGATTTTAGTCGAATTTCTTGAGAGAACTTGTAACTAGTTTAAGTCGAATCAAGACATTTCGATCGAGACCAATTAAGATTTTATAATAATCGGCAATCGGCCGATTAACGTCGTTTCGCTTGATACTCATATCATCGTAGCAATTTGCAGTTTTTAAAGGCTTCTTTTTAAGTTTCTCACTTCATACCCCAATACCCTATACGAATAACTACTTAACGTGGCCAAAAGTGAATTAAAATTAATCAACGATTTTCTAATAAGATATGTATCAAGTAAATCTTTATATTTTCTTTTTTCCTAATATTGGCCTAATATGGAATTCACAGTCAAAATTTTCAACAGGATTATTCGCATTATATATTTGAACGCCAGATGAATGGAAGCGAAACGGAAGGATGATAAAACGATGCTCATTAGACAGCAAATTCTTAATTCTAGTCTTGTTAAAACTTAAGCACAGTGTCAGTTTGTTTAATGACATATTTTATGAAACTGACTAGAGTTAATAATCTCACTTGTACAATGTATATAACGCAGTATGGACGGAGAATAATACAGAACAGTTAATTCTAACTTCTAATTTTCTTTTCCAGATCCATAGGTTACATTCCTAGCAATTACGTGAAGGAAAAGGAGCTGCTGGGTCTTCAGAAATACGAGTATGTTCAGAGGATTTGGACAGGAATTTAGAAATTCCCTTTGAAAATTACACCGCAATGGCAATTGAAACGTAACGATTGAAATTGCAGGTGGTACGTGGGTGACATGTCCAGACAACGCGCAGAATCATTGCTCAAACAGGAGGACAAAGAAGGATGCTTCGTCGTACGTAATTCATCAACCAAAGGACTGTACACGCTTTCCCTCTACACTAAAGTGTAGGCATAAAGTTTTTACATTCTAATATTATTTCATACTTTCAACGTTAAAGAAAAATACCAACAGGCCTGTATTTGTACCGTTGCAGCCCACATCCTCACGTAAAGCACTATCACATCAAACAGAACACCAGAGGAGAGTTTTATCTATCTGAGAAACATTGTTGCGGCTCGATACCAGATTTGGTTAACTATCACAGGCACAATAGCGGCGGACTAGCCAGCAGATTAAAAACCAGCCCTTGTGACCGCCCTGTACCACCAACTGCTGGCCTCAGCCATGGTTTGTAACGCGCGAATTGCGGATTTTTCTAGATCAGAACTTGGATTTTCTCTCAATAATTCAAGATATGATCGAGTAACTTTCGAAGAGAAGAGTGTTCGATTTTCTTACGAAGTACGAATACTGTAACAATTTTTCGCTTTACAGACAAATGGGAGATTGATCCAGCAGAGTTGCACTTGTTGGAAGAACTTGGCTCTGGACAGTTTGGAGTAGTGCGAAGAGGAAAGTGGCGCGGTTCTATAGACGTTGCAGTAAAGATGATGAAGGAAGGCACGATGTCTGAAGATGATTTTATAGAAGAAGCTAAAGTGATGACGTGAGTCGATAGTTGAAGTGAATCTCTCAGTGACGTCCACGGCGTTGACGAAATAAATTTAGTGAACGACAACGAAAGACTAATAAATAATCGTTGGATTGTCGTCCGTAGGAAACTTCAGCATCAAAATTTAGTCCAGCTCTATGGCGTTTGCAGTAAGGACAGACCAATATATATTGTCACTGAATACATGCGACATGGATCTCTGCTCAACTACCTCCGTCGTCATGAAGCAACTCTAGGAGCGAATGTTGGTCTTCTTCTAGACATGTGTATACAGGTAAAGAATATTCGAAATTTTCGAATGACAGTCCGAGTGATTTCTCAATTCCGTATGGTATAATAATTGTGGCGGTAGATAATTGAAATATTTCCGATCACAGGTTTGCAAAGGCATGGCTTATTTGGAAAGGCACAACTACATTCACAGAGATCTTGCCGCGCGCAATTGTTTAGTGGGCTCAGAAAATGTAGTGAAGGTCGCAGATTTCGGATTGGCAAGGTGGAAATCTTTTCTGTTTGCAGTTTCACTACGTTTATTGGTAGTTACTATTTGGAAATCTTTCAAATTTTGCCCCAGGTATGTACTGGATGATCAATATACTAGTAGCGGCGGCACCAAATTCCCAATCAAATGGGCACCTCCGGAAGTGCTGAACTACACGCGCTTCAGCTCAAAATCAGACGTTTGGGCCTACGGAGTACTTATGTGGGAGGTATTCACATGCGGAAAGATGCCTTACGGTCGCCTAAAAAATACCGAAGTCGTGGAAAGAGTGCAACGAGGAATCATATTGGAGAGACCCAAGGCCTGCTTCAAAGAAGTCTACGAGGTTTGCCATATAGCCCCACATTTTGTCTAAAATTATTTTCAAATAATTTCCCGAGTAGATAAACAACAGGACCACCCTCTATGTGTGTAATCAATTGACTACATATTGTTTAGGTAATGCGAAAATGCTGGGCTCACTGCCCGGAAGTACGGCCATCTTTCCGTGTACTGAAGGAGCAGCTAATCAGCGTGTCTCAAGGTCTGCTCAATGATTGACTCAACCTTCTACGGTGTATGCGCCTATCGTCGCCTTCAAGCCGGTCAATACAGGCGACAAAATCTCCATCGCTCGAACGATCGCCCTCGATACTACCATCGTCTAACTCGTCGTCATCGTACAATTCAGCAACATTACCGTCGTCACGTAAAACACGTGCACCCGCCTCTCTACCGCCCTCGGTCGATTTTCTACATCTCTCGTCATCCACGTGTAAATTAAAGAAAGAGGGGTCATCCTCACCGAGTACACCCGGCCACCAACCTAGTCAACCATCATCAAGCTCGTCGAACGTCTGTGACATTTGCAGTTCCTACGGACACCCGTGGATTGAAATTTGCAAGGCGATACGAGCCACTAAAGGCAAATAAGAATTTTGTGTGTGTGTCCCGAAAGTATGTGTGTCGATTTCAACGATTGTATTAACGCAGCTTACAAGACAGCAGAAAGCAGAACGAGAGAAACGAACGAAAAACGAAAAAAACGAACAAAAAAAATAAAGAGAAAAAGAAGGAGGAAGAAAGAATGAGGAAGAAACAATATTAATACGACATTATTTGATCCTGCAGCATCCTTTACTCTCCTTTACGCTTTCTCCTTTCTCTCCAGTTCTTCGTCCTAACTTCCAGAAACTCCTTCCTCACTGTAGACTATACTTTAGACGTTTTTTCTCGTCAAGAACAAAGAAACTATCCGAGCGCGTGGCATTCATTGTGTTTCTCTGACTACTAGGTTCTCTCAATCTGTCCTAATCTTCAACCTATCCCCTTCCACCCCCTCCCCCGACCACCCCCTGCCTCGCCCATCATGAGTTTCATGAGTATCTGTTCCATGCAACGATACAAATGCATTTACAAATAGAACAGTAGTATTTATTGATTGTCCTTCGAACAGGATATACTAGTAAGTTGTGATTTTTCCGTAGAAACATATACTGTCCTTTTGTTATTGACTTTTTAACAAGAACAGTAAACGTAACTCCACGAATGAGAACATTATTTCTGCTTGATAAGTGAATTTAATAAATGAATGTCTCACTTGTGTATTATATACTATGACAATTTAATAAAATAGAAAAAAAGAAAAGCAAAGTGTTTTCTTCTTTCGTTTCCCTCTATTATTTGTAGAATTATATTTGTCACTAATAAGTTGTGATTTTTCCGTAGAAACATATACTGTCCTTTTGTTATTGACTTTTTAACAAGAACAGTAAACGTAACTCCACGAATGAGAACATTATTTCTGCTTGATAAGTGAATTTAATAAATGAATGTCTCACTTGTGTATTATATACTATGACAATTTAATAAAATAGAATTTAATAAAATAGAATTTAATAAAAAAGAAAAGCAAAGTGTTTTCTTCTTTCGTTTTCCTCTATTATTTGTAGAATTATATTTGTCACTAATAATAGTATTCCTTGCCTAACAAATGCATTTCCTTTGAGTCTTAAATCTATTTTCATAGAAGGGACGTTCATCGTTAATCGTAATAAAGATTGAACAATACTTTTCAATAATTATGAAATTAGTTTAATAAAATTTTTGAGGATACTCAGAATAATACCGAATACGCCATATTTAAATAAATTGGAATACAATTTAATTGGAATTAATACTCTTCCAGAGAATGAATATTTTCATTAATAGCTATATATAAATTTATCATATTTATAAAATTAGTATTGACATACCGATAGAAGAAGTTCACGATTGCTGCTACACGTCCCGCAATTCAAATCTGGTTCCAAACACGATTTTTGTTGCAGTCACAAAAGTATTCTTTCACTTGACTTTATTGTTAATTATATCATCTCAAAAATAATTCAAACAAGGAACAAATTATTAGTGTTACTATTATACATCGTTCTAACACGAAATATGAATATCAAACGGCAACAATTTTATTTTTTTTAGAAATGAAACTACGCGTTTCCGAATTGAACATTACGCGACGATTGCAAAATTCAAACTGATTGAAACTTGAATTCAAAA